TTTATTGTTGCAGCGCTGATTGTGAACATTTTTATTTATTATTATTTTTTTTAATGAAAATCAAAATCATTCAGAAATTATGCACAATTATAGCTTATTTTATAAAAGTTATGTCATGGATTATCTACGATATCATATTTCCTAGCTTAAAAATTTATAAATAAATTCACTTATTTATAAATCTTAAATTTGGTGTTTTACGCTCTAATTTCGCTGCATAAACAGTGCAACAGCGAAATTAAGCGGAATTTTTCATAAAACAACGCACCCATTGCTTTATGTTCGTTAGTTATAGTAAAAAACATTGTACTCTATAAGATTACGTTACAAAAATTGTTGCAATATCTTCAACCTGTTAGAATTAATCAGGGACATAGAAAAATAGCTCGATTATCTATACACAACACGGTAAGGAAATATGTATTTTCAATTCGTTAGAGTGAACATATGACATGAATCTGAAAGGATATTAACACAATGTTCATCAGTCAGAGACCTTTGTAGCCGTTTACGGGTTTCTAATTCGTGCCAACTGAATACCCAATACTATTACTGAGCTACCACCAGCCTGTACAGCTCCTTGACATGCTGGATTCATTTATTCATGGGGTTTTCTCCACGAGGACTCTTCCATCTGCCCGAATCAGTTGGAAACGTTATTCGTCAGACCACGCTACTCGTTTCCAGTTTTTCAATGTCCGGTGACGATAGTCCTGAGCCCAGAACTCTGTCATAATGAAAGTAATGGCACTCGAGTTGGGCGTCAGCTATTAACGTCCATATCATGAAGAGAACGTTGTACAGTTCTCATGCTGATGTTACTAGAGGCTTCAGTTATCCTACCATGTGTAAATTCGCTTAAATTATGATAATTTGCCATTCTCAATATGCAATCATTCTTTACACTTCCACAGATGTTTCTTGTTATGTACTGTACAGTACATGTTGTATTAATATTTAGACAAAAACAATTATGAGAAAGAAGGTACTGCAACATTTTCTGAATCGGATCGACTATCCCAGTTTTTTTTGGCACTTCAGTGTATTAAGTAATAAGTTCAAAATTTTCGAAATTTATTTATACGAACATATAATCTAATTTAAAGAAATAGTATTAGCCATGATTTAGTATGATTTTGTTTCTCTTTTTGATCCGTGGGCAGAAGGGAGCTTTTTAACCTCTTTTTTAAAGACCATCATGAGTTCGGTGAAAATCACAGTGTGTCTACCGGCTGACGAGGAACAGGGCCTGACTAACATATTTAAGGATCACCCCCAAAAATTTTTGGAGTTTTTGACCCTTCCGGAATCGATTCCAGAAGGGTCAAAGATTGGTGTACCGACCAACGCCTTAATTGCCTAAGATTTCGTATGATTAATCATTTTTATCGTTTATTAGTCCTACTGTCGTTTTGTTTTTCATACAGGCCTACATCAATTTACAATAAAATAAAATTTAGAGAATGATGATGATTATATTTGTGATTTAAGTACAGTACGATACTCAGTTGATACAGCTGTCAAATGATATACCAAACTAAATTCAAGATGTAGCTGCTTAATTTCTGTTACTAAAACTTCCGAAACGTTTTTTCGTCAGACCATCCATCATTTTCAACATACAGTAGAACCTCGATTATCCGGAGTAATTGGGGATGAAGGTAGTCCGGATAAGGAAAAATTCGGATAATCGAAACAAATACTTTAATTTGTCTTTTAATGATAATACAACACGTTTTCTTTTCGATGACATATCAGTAATATTAAAAATAAATACTGTATTTAAATCGTGATCAAATTTTCAAGAAACAAATGTTTTATTGAATTTGGACTACTACTGACCAGCGCTAAGACTAGCTGTTGTTTAAAAGGTCCTCTGGCGGCTCAAGAAGACGGATTTTATAAATTAAAAAGCAGTTGAAACTGCATTTTTATGAATAAAAATTTGACAAACTATTTATCGTTTTATGACGAGTAAAATTTTTTCGTCGCGTTCTCGGCTTTTAAGTAATGCATGAACCTTCGAGGCGCGAGGCCCTTCGGACCGCGAGGCATAGGTGGTGGTCCACGTTGCCCATGCCTTACACCGCCCTTGGTCATAGAAATGATGTAATCTGAGTATAAATTATTTATAAATACGTATGTCAAGTTATATTTTTATTACGACGCAAAATATATTTAAGAGTTTACGACTACTGTGCCGGGTGAGACGTTGTTGAAACAAAAAAAGTTATGCATTCCATCACGTACATAAACAGTGTCGTAATTCGCCAGTGCAAATCAGCAAATTCGTAAAATTTTTGTTTATTTTGAACAATCCGGATAATCGAGGTTCTACTGTACTTAAAAATTAGTACAAATATTAACAACAAAGAATTTGTCCAATGCTATAAGGAAAAATTAGTACAATTTTAATAGTTTTTCAAAAAAAGGTTGTGTGATGCTTTTAAATCCTTTTCTTTTTTGTTTTTACATTCAAAAGTGGACGACAGGATGACCGAGATGATTAAGGTTTAAGTCTAACAATATTGGATCCAGGTTCAAGTTCGGGTTGGAGCCTCAAAAACTTTCAACAGTTATTTGACCTGGATTCCCTCGATATTCGGTCATCCTTATGGTCTAGAATCTAGATGGAGTCGTGATCAGCATAGAAAAAAAGGTTCTCTTAGTATATTCACATGACGGAATTAGAAAGCCATTCCGAATGATACTTTTCTTAATCTAGTAGTTGATGCTAATACGAAAATACGTTGCGAATATAACTTGTATTTCTGCATAGCTATTTCTACAATAGCTAATGGTTTTTAGTTTTTCATTTTGTTCCAAAGAGTTGCATAGCAAATCAACTCTTTGTACATAATTAATTAAATACAGTAAGACCCCGCTTAACTCTGCCCCTATTAACGCTGATTCGATATAGCGCGGTCTGCTCGAAGCCTAAAAGAAGCTCAAAATTTACGTTGATTCAAATTATCGCGGCATTTCATTGATTCGTATATAATACGATTATTCCCAAACACGAACCAATCAGCTAAAGGTGGCAATTCTGGTAGCGCTGTACTTTCCTCAAATCTTTGTTTGTGTAGTGCAATTTTGGGAAAAATATAACATCATGGATGCTTTAGGCAATATCAACTTCTCTTAGCAAGAATTAACTCATAAATGCATGAACGAAGTGTGGAAAAAGTTATGACTGAAGGTATCCAAGAATTCTCAACGAGAAGAGCCTATCACTGTATCGTTAGGTTGACCAAATTGTCAACCTAATCGATACAGCAGGACTAGGAGATGTACTGTACACGAGCAGGATATTGAGGAGTTACTGCAGAAACTTGCAGTAACTCCTCAATATCCTTGAGTTGGTAAGGCTCTCAATATCTGAGAGCCTTACCAACGACGATCTTCAAGAATTGGCGGAACAAGGAATTTATGTAGAACTGGAAAATAGAGATTCTGAAAACGAAGAGTCTAAAGAATTTTTCTACAGATTTCCTTAGTAAAAGTTTGGTAACAATAACCGAAATCATCGATCAAATTGTAACGAATGATCCAGATTTTGAGAGGAGTGTAAAAGCAAGATGAGACGTTTTGGATGCGATCGCCCGCTACGAACATTTGCTTAAGGAAGAAAAAATAAAACGACAAATGAAACTAAACGACTTTATCGCAAAAAACAAGGATTTCAGAAGAGCTAGGACCATAATCACAAAAAATGAACTTTACATTTCTGTGTGCATATGTTTATGTGTTATTTAACATATATTATTATGCAAATTAATATAAAATAACTTAAAATTGAAGTAAAATCTGTTTATTTTTGGTCGCGTGTTCCCCTTTCCCTATTTACTTTGTGTTAAAATGACCTCGTTTAAAGCTGTTTCGAAGCGTTTTGTCGTCAAGGAACGTAACCTTCGCGTTAAGTGGGGTCTTGCTGTAATGTAATGTTTAGTACCCATGTTGTGTATTATTCCTCAGTGCAATTAAGGATATGATCGAGAAAGTGCGTTACGTAATTTTAATTCTGTAACGCTCCATAGTGCATCGCACTAAGGAGCGTTAAAGAGGTGGAAAGTTAATTGAAAATTATGAAAGTAGCGTTACGTAACTTATGGATGATCTCATCCATGTATTGCTTCCTGTAGATTCGTAAAGATCATTATAATTATGTTTAAGGAAAAGAAATACAATCCTCATTTAAATGTAACTCAGATTCATAAGCTAGCGGCGATTAGTAATATGTTTTTACTAATAAGCTTGCGCCTATTAGTAAAAACATAAGGGGCTGTCCATAAATTACGTAACCCAGTGGGTTGGTATGCAGATAATCGTTAATAAAACAATTTATTTTTATTTCAGGTGGTTTCAACATTTGTATGTATTTGCAGGTATATATCATATAGTGATAGCTTGGATTTTATATAAAGTATATTTCAAGAAACAATCTCTTCCTTTATTTATAAATATGGTAATCAAATTGTTTTTGAACGCTGAAATAACTCCTTCAGGTAAGTTAAAGTTTTTGTTAAATGTAATTAGTTAAACATTAATACAAGTCTCTTTCTTAATTTCACCTGCTTATAAACTATTTGACACTATTCCAATGCTTTCCCTTATTATTTATACATAACAGCCAGTAAAGTAAAATTAAGAATGTTTAGAGATGTATTTAACTTATCGCTACAGAATATTTTATCTTATTTCGAAACGTTAAATAAAGGGTTAAAGAAAGAAATATCTTGTTATTTACTCTCAAAATTAAAAACAAAACTAAGTAGAGTTATTTTGACTCGTACCATTTTAGTAGGGTTAAAACTTTATCTTTCCTTTGCACACTTTTACACAACGAGTTAAATTATTCTAGCTCATTGTCTTTACACGACACAAATGTCATGCCTCTTTGACTAAAAGGAAAATGGCGGACGTGTATTCAATTTTCTTTCAACATGACGTCGCTACAACCACTTTATGTAGTATATTATAGTTCGTTGCGTTTACAATAGATATATGGCAAGTTGCCAGGACCCGCAAAATTTTTGACAGTTTTTCTGTCAATAATATTACTTTTCGCTTATTAAAATAATTTATTACCGACTTATTCCTTATCTACAGATTTATGGCATTAAAAGCCGAAGTTTTAGGCTTAGCTTTCATTTGCGATTAAACAGCAGGTTTTTTTTTGTTTTTGCAACTTTTTCATAAGCTTTTGTGGGAGCCTCGGCTGATTTCTGGAAACATGCCAAGAGTACAACAGACTGAGGCGCCATTATAAACTGTATACGACAGAAGTGCGAAAAAATTAAACTATTGCCATACATTTTTTGTTTTTCCTATGCTTTATTAAATAACTTCATTTCTAAATGCATTTTGTACTTTCGTTAATTACAAAATTTATTGTATTTACTTATCTATATAGATATATATCATTGTAATTAACTACCATTTAAAGAAAAATAGTTACAATGATTATGCTTGTCTCATTTCAAATATAGAAACATTTTCTTAAATAAAATAACTGATGTCTTCTTTTCATCATTCCTTACATTGTCAGTGTTTTTGGGTTGACATAAAATACTTTTTCTGTTATTTGATTGTTAAAAAAGATTACTGTTGTTGTTTTATCATTTTCAGATTTTTTACTTTCTATAAATAGTATTTTTAATACATTTTCTATAATATTATTAATTTACATATTAATGATAAAAAGCATATTGGACGATAGAAAACATTATCGAAAACATAAATAAAACGATTTTTCAAAATAGTACTAATATGGAAGCACCTGTAATGGCAAACATGCGAATCTTACATGGATGACCGGAAAAAACTGTAGTAAACTTGTTGATGAATAAAAATTATTTAAAATTATTTTGGTAATTTGAAAGCTTGGATTTGGGAAAATATAAATCTAATTAAACTATTAATTTATTGCTGATGTATTTACGTTAAATTAGCATAATAATTTTGGAAAAGTGGAGAAAACAAAATTTAAATAATTGCAATATCATCTGCGCAATTCAGTACTGTAAATAATTCACTGTTGTTTTTCGTAGGTTTTTTTTTCTGTTTTTTTTTATCGTTATTATTATGATTGTCAGTTTAGTTCCGATTTTGCCATCTGTCTTTGTTTTATTTACAGTATCATTAGTACATTTGGTCTAATATTAATTATTTGTTTGGAATCTCCAAAAATAACTTGAAATTTTAACATTATCGTTCTTCTTAAAGATGCACAGAGCAGCAGCTATGTGTGTAAGAGGGAACTTAATATATATACAGTATATATAATATACGTTTCATATACAGTAATATGCAATATAAAACTAATGGTTTTGTATTAATATTATGATGACAACGTCATTTAAGAAAATGAAGTTTCATTATTTTCACCGATTGTAGTGCCATAATAAAACCGATAACCTCATCTTATGGTCTCTTTGAAGTCTAACATTTTTTATTTATTATTTTCTTCATTTGTAGGATGAGTATTTTCCGAGTTATTCCAGTGGGTTGATTAAAATGGATCACCCAGCATATTTTTTATTGTTCATTAATCCTTTTTCTTCATGTTATGTAGATTAATGAATGATAAAGCATATTTTTTAATTGTATATTTTAAATTCCTTAAATTTTCTTTTGTTTTAAGAAATTACTAAACTTATTTTATATTTGTTGTATAACAAATAATTACCCTTCTAGATTTCTATTTTCCAGAAAAGTTAAAAAAAAATTATAATTATAATTTTATTTTTTAAGTAATTGTGGTTTAAAATTTTTACAATTTAAAAACATTACTTGTCTTCGGGCATTATCAGGCAGCAAATCTTTTGTGCGTAAACTCATTTTATAATTTAATAATTTTTGAATTATTATGAATATAAATGTTTATTGTTTCGTAATGAATATATTTTTAAATGAGTTTTATGTAAGCGCAAATAAATATTTATTAAATATACATAGTATATTGGCATCCGCAGTATATTTAGCTCTAAGCATTGAATTTAAATTAAATAATTTAAATAGCGTAGCGCAGTATTTTTTTGCGTAAAAATGATTATACAGTAATCAATTATTTATGGTAATTAAAACTAGAAAAATTTTTAAATAAAAAATTAGTAGAAAAGAGATCTGAAATGAAGAAAAAAAATTAGGGAGGAAGGAAAACCAATATTGAATTCCGCTTATTATTCTATTTTGTGTTTATCCATTTTTGAAATAAAAACTTTAATATTGAATATCATTACATTATTTCATTATGATAACATTCATCATTATGTACTGTACTTTATTAAATTATGCTAATTATTTTTTTAAAAATTTCAATTCTGTTTATATTTGTATTTGCAAGCAAATATGATTTAATGAACTATAATTAAGAAAAGTTAACAAAGGACGAAATTTTATACTGTGATATTTTTATGTATTAGTAATTAATGTGACTTGCATTTATTATGGTCGCTATTTTTTTCAGCAATGATAGTTCTCTATCAGTCTGATATGCTACACACAATATATATATATTTTTTTAAATCTAAAAGCTTAATAATTTATAATTCTAAATATTTCAAATTGAACAACTCACATCTTGATTTGAAATAAATATTTCTATTAAAGTCACTCTTTTAAAGTCCACAAAATATATAATAAAGATTTGGTTTTAAGTGCAGTTGGTTTTCTCATTACTAGCTTAGAATAAATATTTTGTTCTTGATTAAAAATAAATCTAGAACAAATTGATATCTCTAATCTAAAATAAATATTTCTACAGGTTTATACTAAATAACAAATATTTTTTTATTTGCTGAACATTTGTAATCTTTTTGACTTTTTTATTTGAAAAGATCATTTTTAAAAAATGTAATTGTTTACTTGATATTTCTCATCAGGAAGAATGGTATCGAACATTCTTCTAAAATCTGAATATTAAAATGTATATTTACAGTATTATAGATGTTTACCGTAAAACGAGAGCAGTCCATTTCTTACAAAGTATTCCTTTGATTTGGCTGATTTTACTTACAACTTTACTACTTTCTCTTTAGATTTATTCTTTAAAAAATACGGTTGTGGATGAAATTTTTTGCCCCTTTGACATCTAGTATATTATATTTCATTATTATCACGTGGGATAAATTATGTTTAATTAAAATAAAATTACGTTGTTCTATTAATTAGCTGTCCACATGCCTTCTTTAGCGAATTTAGTCAAGATGCACATACTGTTTTTTTAGCTTCTATCAGCAGTAAGCTTCCGAATCCCATGAGTAATAATTCTTATCAAATAGCTCTTGTAGATAAAGATAATTCAGCAATATAGTTTTTTTTTCAATTCACTTCTGAATTCTGTTGTTGTGGACTAATGATTTCTAATGTAGAATTTATCCAAATAAAAATTCTAAAGTGCATTTTTTCTCTATTAGTATTAAAATTTTTTAGTATTTTTATTAAATATGTTATTATCTAATGATATTTTTTATAAAATAATACTTGAGAAAGCTTTAATAATTGCACTCCTTTTAAAAAATGGAATTGCTTTTTTATTGAGAATTAATAGAGAAAGTTTATCAAGACTAGGCAAAGTAAAGTAAATGGACAATGAATAAAGTAGATCTACCCACATTTAAGTATGAAGTCATATATTATAGTATAGTTATTTAGTTTAGTAAATTAATTATGTAATAATTAAAAAATGCTTTTACATCCATACAGTATAGTAAATATATATCTGTAGTTTAAACATTTATTTATTTTATTTTACATTTAATTAGAATTGTCGATGGACAATAGATTTATTTATTTATAAATATGTTCATATTTATACATTTTAAATTTCTTTAAGTTGTTACAATATTTTGTGTCCATATAAATAAAAAAGATGTATTCTATATATTGTAGCAATACCGGAAGCTGTCGTAATCTCATTGGTGTTGATGTTACTTCAAATTTTTCGCCGATTTTATGAAAGTTACTTCATTTCTGTATTTTCGAATGCTAAAATGAATCTAATACATTACATTTTTTCTTATTGTTATTATTTTGGAGTGGGTCTTTCTCTTCTTTCTGAAGCACCTGGATTTACGAAGCCAGGTAGGATTTCTATTATTTTAATATTTTTGATAACTTAAAAATTAATATTTAAGTTAGTAATTAAATTATAATTAAAATTACGTTTTTCGATGTAGAATAAATAAATTTTAATTTTAGATGGAATAAAAGATATTAATTTCTCTAAAAATTGGCTGAAGATAAATCATTTGTTGGGTGTCGCGCTTTTCTTTTGGGCTTGGAATAATCAACATAAATGCCTTGAGACACTAGCAGAACTACGTAAAGATAAGAAAGGTAATAACATCCTTTAATATTTTAATTAATAATACAAATGGTATTTAATCGAATTAATCAATATTTTAAAATTATAATTTTTATTTTATCTAGGTACAGTTACGACAACAAAATATTCAGTTCCAGAAGGTCATTCGTTTGATTTTGTGACTAATCCACACTATCTATATGAAATAATTATATATTTTGCAATATTAATAGTTTTAGGTTTTAACAATGTAACATGGTGGTTACTCTTTCTTTCGGTTTTTAGTTCTCATATTTTTCTAGCGGCTGCTTCACACAAATGGTATCAAGAAAATTTTCCAAAATATGCTAAGTCTCGAAAAGCGATAATTCCATATGTATTTTGAAGATTTTAATTGTGTTTACTGTATTTCCACGATTAAACTCCGAGAGGTTATTATCATCATAAAAAGTACGTATTCTCCGTGCTTATTTGAAGACACGGGCTTTTTTAGTTCGGAGTTTATTACCTTGCAACAAAAGATAAGTGGATAACAATTGAAAAAATGCCTTAATTACTCGTACATTTTCAGAACTATCAAAACTATTTGTTGATAGTATTTACGAATTATAGCTACAACAATTGTAATAATTATTATTTTCATAATTAACTCGATTCAGTCTTCCAGTTCGGTTAATATGTTGTCATTCGTGTCTGTTTCGATGTCGTTGAAGAAATCAAAATCTTGACTATTATCTTCGGATTTCAAATTCACCATCTCTTTTGGAAAGAAAGATGATGAGTTTGAACCAGAGTTTTCCTAATTACTCTTTTGTTTCGATTGATAAGATCAGTCGAAACAAAAGGGTAATTAGCGACTTTCCCACGTACAATAGCCTATTCAACAAGTATTTATAATTTTATTTCTCAAAAGCTGTTTTCCGTGAATCTTGGAATAAAAAGTGCTGTTCGACTCTAGCAACTCGAAGAGGTCGAATTTTAGTTAAACTCCTTATCTGCCGCTCAAAATGTACATTATCCTTTAACATATTTCCCATGCTTTTCAATCCGTGGTATAATCGAGGAAACGCTGTATTGATATGTCTATTGGTATATGGTATATATATAAATTGTTTTTAATTAAATATGTAATAATAATTTTATTTTCAACGAAGACTTGACTATAAAAATAAATATACGGTCGACCCCCCTATAACACGGTAGATACGTTCTGGGTTTTATGAATCCATTTACTACGAGTCCTTGCCAATCACAGCCCGGCACGTATGTACTGTACTTTACGGACTACGGCTGTTTGGAAGATTTCTTCCATAAAATTAATCGATTCTAGACTAATTCGACTCAACATTTCCAAAATACGTATAATTTTTAGGGAATAATCCATATAAACTATGCTATAAACAAAAAATTGTAGGATTACTTACCGAGTGTGTACCGTTCGACAACGTCATGCAATGACGAAAGCTTTCTGAGAAGTTATTTTTCTGCGAAAAATTCGCTGAACTTTGGAGACATCATTAATATAAATAATTTTTATGGCCGTTGAATAAGAAATGTTTTTTTTCACACGAAAAGTATAAAATTACAGTACTGTATTAGACTTACAGTACCTAACTTAGGCCTATACACTGTACAGACGATAGTAAACTTAACTTACCCGCCTAAACTCTCCGTAGGGTGTAAGTAGTTCGGCTGTTCGTCTACTATTGGTCCAGATTCGACCAATCCTGTCGCGACCTGTATATGAAATTCTGTATATTCGTATAGCTGGGATATGTAGCAATGTTGGAACGACTGTAATTTTTCCAATAAAATGATACATTTGTGTAATTATAGTATTGTTCTATTTATTACAAGAGAAAATCGATTGTCTTGAAAAATAATAAGTTCTAAAATTTTAAAGTATAGTATACTTGTGAGGACGTGTTCCAAAATATACCTGTGTCCCTTCTGCATCGTCTAAGGCAGGGGTGTCCAACCCGCGGCCCAAGGCAAGTTTCAATGCGGCCTAATAAACGAGTAAACAAAACCGACAAATTGTTTTATTTATTTTTTATTTCAACGGCATAAACTGAAAAAAGAAGTTTCACAAAGCGGTAAACTTTTATACATATTTTATTTTTGAGTGAAAAGGAAATATTTTCCAATACTTGAAGATGTGTGAATGGCGAAGGAATACTAAATAAAGCTGCTCAAAGGTTTATATACCCAAATTTCAGAAAAGGAGAGAAAGGCCAAAAGATAAAGAAATGAGAAAGGTTAAATAGACCTTCTTGTTATGCAAATATTGACCCTTAATTTTCCAACCTTCCTCACTACTTTTTATCTTTTGGTCTTTCTCCCCTGTTCTCAAATTTGGGTCTAAAATCCTTTGAGTTACAACTCCAGCATTATTCAATATTCTTTCCAGCATTGCAAGATTTGGCTACCCTTTTTTAGTTTTTTAGTTTGGCGTAAAAATTATCATTTCGCGCATTGGCTACTTTCTGGGCTACATATTACAGTCGACCCCCTATAATTACGGTCCCAATAATTACGATTCCTATAAAACTGCAAAAAAATTGTAACGATATCCGTAAAAAACAGTAAAAACCCCCTATAATTACGTTAAACGTCATCGGGCAGCCGAACTACTTTCCCGCCGTCCGTAGCGCCACGCTA